AGAACCTGTTCAGGGTGACCAAGTTGCCGGGCCAGTAGCATCGACAGCGGCCACTACCTTGCTCGATCTCATGCTGGATACGTGTCGAGTTGGTCTGGAAGGGTCAGGTCAGGAGACGGACATGCCTGCGGAACAACCGGATGCCCCTCATCAGGGATAGGGTCATGGGCGAATACGGGGAAGAAAGCAGAATGTGTGTGACCTACTTCGGCCTGCTTTGGGACATCCGCTACTGAGAGGGATTTTCTTAAAGGGGCACAACTGGCCTGCCTCTATGAGGCTCTCTACCCGAACTGCGAGGTGGAAAAAGGCTCTCAAAAAAAAAAAAACCCTAGATCCTAAACCCTAAAACCCCCCGATTGCGCCTAAACCCTAGACCCTAAACCCTAAAACACCCCCGATTGCCAAACTCAAAACCCGCAGGCTCCAGTTCTTACTGCCGGATGCTGCGGCCCGTGCCCTCGCGTTCTACACCCATCCAAACTCCTCGCAAGCGATAGAGCGTCGCAAAAAACCCTCTTCTGGGGCCGAAAAATCACGTGAGCGCTAAACCCAAGCCGGGTTTGAGGACTTAGGCTTCAGGGGTTCAGGGTTTAGGGTTCAGGAAGCTAGAAACAGAAACCCGGATGTCAGACCCTGAAATTGTAAACCCTAAAAGCCCAAGTCCCACCCCTCAACCCCGAATCTCAGACCCTGACATCCTAAACCGTAAGCTGCTCCACCGCAGAGGCTTTGCTCTTCCTGACGATGTCCCGGGCTATGCTCAGCAGCACATCCCGATGTTTGCCGAAGTGGGCCAGTCTCCCGACCAACTGTATGTATATTAATATGTATCTGTATCTGTATATGGTTTAGGGTTTAGGGTTTAGGATATATGTATATGTATATGTGATTTAAGTGTCTGTATGTGTATATGTGTGTATGCGTATGTGTACGTGTGTTTGCAGTTTTTGCATTTGCACATGTAGCTTCTATATGTAGTATGAGATAGATTGGATTAGATAGATGGGGGGGATAGGTAGAGAGATAGACAGGCAGACAGACAGATAGACAGACAGACAGACAGGCAGGCAGGCAGGCAGGCAGGCAGGCAGGCAGGCAGGCAGGCAGGCGGACCGACAGACAGACAGATAGATCTACATTGTGAGGACGCCCTGGCCTCCTTTACCCGAGACTCACACCAGCCCGATGCAAGCTCAAAAACTTTCCGCAAGTGAAGTGTCCGTCGATTGACGATTAATGCATAGGGTGCCCCTTCGTGCGGAGGCCGCTGAGCCCTAAGCTTTGGCATTGTCGATGGTATATGTGGCTTTATGGGGCTAAGGTTTCCTCATCACCTTCCTGGACTCGCACAAAGACTTTCACATCGAGGCGGGCAAGGCTTTGTGCCTGTACTCCTCGATCCACGTGACTGGCCACACCATCGGCACAGTCCCGGGCGTGATGCAGAGACTTGCCTTGACTAGAAAGAGAGAAAGAAAGAAAGAAAAAAGAAAGAAAGAAAGAAGAGAGAGAGACAGAGAGACAGAGAGAGAGAGTGTGTGTGTGGGAGCGAGAGAGAGAGAGAGAGAGATACATATATATATATATATGTAATATATATATATATATATATTTATTTATTTATTTATTTATATGTATATATATATATGTATATTTGTGTGTAGGGGGTTTACCTTCATGATCATCGGCTAACGGCTGCACAGGTGTTCTTGGTGATGGCAACGATGACGATTATGGTGGTGATGCTGCTGCTGACAAGAAGACGAAACTGAAGATTAAGTTTATGATGAAAGGTTTTTGTTGGTAGTATGACGGTGATTCCTGTTAGGATGGTTATTATTCCGTCCGAATGCAAGCCGAGTCCCTCAACAACAACTTACAAAAGCTTTCTGGATGTTCGAGGAAGGGACAGCTAGCCAGTACTAGCTAGTCATTATACTCATACCTGGTATCCCGAGATGCCGAACCGGAGCCCAGATGTCCCAGCCCTGGGCACCGGAGAAAGCTCAGAATCCCAGGCTTATGAATCCTAACCTGCCCTACCCCCCAAGAGTCTCTATGTCCAACCATCAGACCCTGCCCATAGGCCCCATGGTGGTTCCTTTTTGGTTGTTCATATTTAGAATCCTATAAGGTCATC